TTCGGGAGGCCTGGCCGCCGCTCCCAGCTGGACTCCCAACCTGCCGTGACCTCGGGCATGTATTTCCCCTGCTGCGCCTCTTCCTCCTCCCACCGCCTGTCTTGTCTGCCCCGCCTGCACCAGCTGTCTGCAACCCGGGCTCTGTTTGGACAGCAGCTAGTCGGGCAGGCCCTGCTCTGCTTACGAAAGAGGCTTCCCCTTGGCTTGGCTGCTCCCCCGAACGTGCCGTCCACCTTCTGGAGTGCAGAGAAGGGCTCTGAAACCTCGAGCAACCAGGCAGGCCAGGTAAATGCTCCGTCTTTTTGACCCCCATCGTCCCCCACCTGCATACGTGACCCTGGGCCAGACACAAGAGCAGCGGGGTCTGCTCCGGGTCCCACGTCCTGACCTGTATGTGTGTGTGTGTGTGTGTTCACGGAAAGTAAATTATAAGGCAGACAGAGAACTGCTGACAGAGGGCTGGCTTCCCCAGGCTCGCCGGCAGTCGGTTCCCAAATTGCACGTGGTAGCTCATCAAGACTGAACAGATCCTTTTAATGGAGCTGGTTGCAAAACTCTGCCAACCTGGTGACTGTGGTGTGTGTCGCATTAGGAGGAAAAAAGCTGCCTCCCTCGTACGGGCTGCTCCTGCTATCATGGGCATTTGTGTTCGCGCTGCCAGCAAAATGCTGCTGGGCGGTCTCTCTCTTCGTGGCTTTGGCTTTGATGGCGCTGGCTGGCAGCATCCAGAGACCGAGGTTCACGCTCATGTGACAGCGCTGAGCGCACGTCGCTGGCTGCTACCCTGATGGGAACGTCCTGGGAGGGTTTCTGGTGCGTCGGGAATGAGTTGTGCAGGGGCTGATGGGTGCTGAGATGCAGGAATCGCTGACAAAGGAGCTTGGTCCTGTCTTGGCAGAAAAGAGAGTGGAGAAAGGAGGTACTGGAAGCAGCTGGGGGCAGGGGGCTGAGCAAGATGGACAAGGAAAGGACACTTGGACCAAGCCAGCGTTTCCCCGAGCTCATGGGATTATGCTGCACTCGATAGCAAGGTCTGGCACTTTCACACCCCTCCCTCGCTGGTGGCAGGGGAAGCAGCAGTATCTGGAGGGGGGGAAATTAGGGGTAGGTAACAATAGGCAGTGGCATTTTTCCATGCACGCATCCTAGGATCCTTGTGCCCCACCATAAGGGCACTGTTTTGGCAAGCACATACAGAGCTAGCTTGCACAGTCAGCAAGAAACGGGTCAGAGGTGTCAGATGCCACAGCGGTTGCAGAAGGACCTAGATGGGCATAGTGTCTGCCCCGGAGAGCGTGGAGTGTGACTGGCAGAGACAGCCGGACGGGCTCTGGGAAGCCCGGCGGCATGAACTCGTCGTGGTGTGTGCAAAAACTTTGTTGAGACAAGCTGTAAACTCCAGAAGGAACGGACAGGCTTCAGGAGGTGCTGAGGGAAGCCCGAGCATCCCTGACTGCCAAGCTGGCCTGGAAGCAGGCGCGGGCAGAGTGGCGGTGATGCAGGGTGCAGCACGTCGGGGCATAAATCGTTGGGGTGGCTGCAGGACCAGTGATCGCGATGTTAGCTGGCTCGTGTCCTTCCTGCCCCACATGTAAGGGCATGTGTGCCTCCTCCCTAGGGCTTGGGAGAAGATACCTTGGGGCCTTCCACACTATTTGCCCTGGTAACTTTTCCCCTTGTCCAGCTCAGTCTTTCCCCAGGAGGAAGCATAAATACCCGTGGAGCTTCTCAGCTTGGCCCAGGGCATGGCTCGGCTATAGTTGGACTAGGTGGTGTATATATTAGCTGCTCCATATTCCTGCAGCCAGGCTTTGCACAGACCTTGTGCAGTCTTCAACAGCAGTGCTAGGACTGGCAGGACAGTGGGACAGGCTTCCTGCAGGAGTACATGGGGTCTTTGGACAAAAATTACATTCCTCGGCAACACTAATCACGAAAAACCGAACCGGGATGTGCCCGTGTACGGTTCAGTCCCATGGGGGTAAAACGTCACCTGTTCCAGGTGTTGTTCACATGCTGCTCTAGCCAGTTCCTGCGAGGACTGCGAGTCCGTTGCTATATTGTTTCTTGGGGGCGGTTGAGGACCCCACCACTAAAAGGTCTATGTCCTTCAGCTCTCACCCTTTGGTTCTGCTGTTTCCTTGCAACTAGTCCCTGGCCTCCATAAAGGGAAAGAACAAGCTGTTGATACTGGGAGGAGGTGGTGGATGGTTTAGAGGCTGTTTTGGGACCTGCAAGTAAGACCGTGGCTTCAGAAGAGGTGTAAGAAAGGGATGGTTGCCTCCATTGTCTGAAGCAACGCAAACCTCACCCCCCGCAAAGCCTACTGCCAGTCGTGCCATGCAAGGCTCGCACCGCGAAAATCATGCCTGATGTAGACGGACGTTTTGTGAGAACTAAGCCAGTGTAGGCCCACTGGGGAGAGCCCAATGAGGTGTGGAAAGACGGGAATAACAGCGTTGGACCGCAGGGATGGGCTGATGACGGGGAACGACCGGGCTGTAGCCGCGCTGGGAATCCCGTGAGCCTCTGATAGTGCCACGCAATTTCGAGTGCTCCCTGTTACTGGAGTTTGTCCCCTCCTCTCTTGGCAGTAGCTCATCCCTGCTAGAGAGAAGTCTGTCTGGAGCTATAAACCCCCTGAAATCCATATTTTCCCCACCCTTGCTGGAAAACTGCTGAGGGGAGTCTGCGGGTTTTAAAAGCAGGGAGAGGAATGATAGATAATTTCCTCTTCCCCACACCACACCACACCTCTCCCCCACACCATTTGCAGACTAATGAATGTGTTTTGGTGGAAGCCCCTTATTAAAATGTGGGTAGCACACCTTTATTGACAGGATCTCTTTACGTCCTCGGACGAGCGTTCAAATCCAGCCTAGCCCAGCAGTGGCTAAAATATTACCGTCTGGTGCCTACATGCAGCAGATAAAATGGGATGATGGCCCCTGTCTAGTTCCTAGTTGAGAAATGTCCACCAAAACTACCAGAGCAGCTGTCTGATCTTCTTGTCGGGGGGTTGGGGGACAAGGGCCCAGGATTTGAATGGGACTAGAGGGGAGTTGCCTGGTCCCTCTGGATAAAGTTGGTACCTCGATTGTTTCGTCCATGTGTGATATTAGAGAGTGAGCTCTTCGGTGTGGCTTTGCACAACCGCGCTGCAAAGCCTGCAGTCACCACCTAGTTGAGAAGAGAGAATAAGAGGTTTCTAGCGAGCACAAAGGTACCGAAGTCCAACGAGGTTCCCTCGTCCCTGTGAATTGTTTTTTTTCTCAACTGTTTAAGAGACTTTTGTTGGGCAGGAGGAGCAATCGGAGGCTTTGGGGGTGCTGTACCCTAACCCACTCCTTTGGGTACTTGTGTACCATGTATAGCATAGAGGTCACAGCCCAATCCAAAGGCCACGTTCCTCTAAAACAGCAGAGCCAGCATGGTGCACGGATTATTTGGGCTTGCCAAAAGATGAGGAGGAATTGTGGAGCATCTGCATGCAATAGCTATCTTGTCTGGGTGTTGGCGGTCTCAGGAGGACAAAGCAAGGCTGGCTTGTGCTCCCACTCCAGGACCCCTTTCTTGGAGATCCCGTAGCTCTGGGAAGGTTTGCATGGGGACGTAGCTCCCTCTCCTCTTCCAGATCGAGGGTATGGCTGCCAGGGTGGATTAGTTGGGGAAGAGAGTCTGAAAGCTCAGCTGGATCGAACCTGAGGCCCCTTCACCTGAGCCTTAGGTTGGACAGCGGCAGGCTAGCACCCCGTCATAAGTTGGGCACAGTAATTTCCTGTAGAATAGATACAGGAGAAATACCCTGTAGATGCAGAAGTACCCCATAATAAGTAGGCATGGCCCTTCCTCCACCAGGAGCTCATCCTGCCTGCAACCCTGTAGTGTGAGGCTTCCTATCCCTTTTGGAGCATTTTACTGGGCAGAGGAGTATGGGTGTGGGGCAAAGAGCCAGCAGCCCCCAAATTCCTGGTGCTGAAACGTATCTGAGCTCAGCAGGTTTGTCTGCAAAATTCCCTATGAAATCAGGGTCTAAGTCAGCCCTTGGGCAAGCCACTCTGGGCCATCATTGCCCAGTCAATTTTCCTCCAGTCCTGCCCCCTCCGCTGCCTGCAGCCCCGGGGGCTTCTTGGCCAAGCTTTCGATGGCTGGTACGTGAGTGCTTGGCACCCGCGGCAAGGCACGCTGGGTAGCAGACTCGGGTTGCAAGTGGGGGAGGCGGGTGAAGTTCTTAAAATAGAAGTCTCCTCTCCAGCTGCTGGCACGGAGGTAGCACGTTGGGAGCATGGAGTGCATTTCTGGGCATCATCAAAACACCGGAGTAACTGGAAGGAGGAAGAAAATGGTTCTGGGGAGCTGGGGTGAGGAGCCCAGCAGGAAGTATTTGACGGTTCCAGCTCACTGGGGCATTGCCGGTATTTCCTCATGCCAGGAAACAGGCCATCTGGATGCTTGCTTTGGGTCCACCTAGAATGAGGAAACCCCTGTCCTGGCCTCACCTTCCAGTTATTCCTGGACTGCAGCAGGCCAGAGACGAGTAGCCTCATGGCGAGGGATGGATGGGGGGCAGTTTCTGGCTATGGCCGATGCCAAGTGGAACGGATGGTTGGGTGCGCGTGGATAAAGACCACCAATGTTGGATGCCAGTGGTGCACAAGGGAAAAAAGGAGTAGGTGCAGCATATTCAGCCACCCTTCATTCCCCTGCTCAAGCAATCGCCCATTGGCAACTGGTGTGGGGAGGAAATGGCCTTTTTCTAGAGGCTGGAGCAAACTCACCCCTCAAAAGTCATAGTGAGACACCTTGACTGCAATAGTACCCTGCCATGAGGGACAAGAACAGGCCATGGCACAACCAGATGCAATTGGTGTAAAATTATCATTTCTTTAGGAGCGGACGGATGAACAGCTGCATGCAGCAGGTGGCTATGACTGCCTTGCCACTAGGGATGGGGGAGCTGGGAATAGCCTCTTAGCCTTTAGCGAGGGGTCCTGTTGGGTAGATGCAGGTGACGCCAAAGCCAGCGTGACTCATACCAGTGGAGTAGCCCTGCAAGGTGGGCAGACAGCGCCTGCCTAGACCTAGGGCGCTGCACCTTTGCGTGCATCAGTCACGGTCACGCAGAGAATCGGTGGCAACACCGGCTCCGAGCCAGGCGGTCCTGTGTTACACCCTGTGCAAGGAGGGAAGCGTGGTCGACGGAGGAGGGGGAAGCCAAGCTCCCGCGACAGCCTTCTGGCAGCGGGGAGGCTGCCCCCGTTCTCCCTGTTCCCATTCCCCGGCCCCGCATTTGATGTGCAATTCATTAATCCGCTCTGATCCGGATCAGCTTCCTGCGGGGCTGGTACCTACCTTGAAATCCAAGCCACACTTGCTGGCTTCCCTGCTTCCCAGCCAGGCCCCTCTGCACACTGCTCCAGGCTTTGGCGGGGAGCCAGCGCCCAACTGGAGCGCTCAGATTTGCAAGGCAGCCAGCTTAAATGATTATATTACGATTCCCCGTGGAGTTGGCCTCTCTCTCTCTCTCTCATTTTCTCTCTCCCCCTGCTCTCTGCTCCCCTCCTTCCTCCGAACTGGCATTTGACATCACTAATTGAACGCAGACCTCGGAGCGCTCAGCAGCCGGGAGCATGTTGATCCATCGCCTCCTCCCCTTATCCCCCTGCCTGGATTTTGCTGGCTTTTGAGTTCACTGAATAGGGGCGAGGGGCTGCTGCTGCGTCTGGAGAGTGAAGGTGGGGCTGGAAGAGGATCAAGCCACGATCTGAAGAGGTAACTCGCTGCCAGGGACTACAGCTGGTGTTTATAGCTTGCACGGTGTCCATTAGTTTTCTCATAGCTCTTCTCTCCCCACCCCCTCCGTAAGATTTACTGGCCTTGCTTCGAATCCAAGTCAGGAAAACCTCTGACGTTGGCGCGACGTTCGAGAGCTCCTCACCGCTGCTTGGGGGAAGAGAGGAGGGGATATCCCAGAAAATAAAGCCGGGCTCTCCCCGCACAGCGAGGCCTAGAGCTCGCGGGCGGGAGCCGACGCTCTCCTCCTGCGCTGCCGGCCGTGTCCTCGTGTCTGCGCCTGGAAGGCGAGGGAGCGAAAGCCGGCCGGCCGTGTGGACTGATTCTTCCGAGGTGGAGGAGCCATGAAGTGGCGTGCGGGAGAGTCCGGTGCCATGCACGTGGTAACTGGGGAAAGTAAATACGTCTTGGCTTCTCTGAATTCGTGGAGAGCTGGCAGCAATGCAGGGGAGCAGAGAGGGGTATGGGTGGCTGTGACTTTTACATAGGTGTTTTTTGGGAGTAGCTGTGACCTTTATGTAGGTGATTTGGGAGTAGCCTCTCTTTGCGCAGTGCCTGGTCTGGGGGAGCGTTGCTGGGGGCTTCTCACCTGGCAAGGGGCTGGAGCGCGCGAGCCGGTTGGGTCTGCATGTGACATCCAGAGACGGCAATGTTCACAGGGAGGACGAGCCTGGCTTCCCCTTGTCGCGGTTGTTAGCCTGCATTTGGCACAGGCTGGGGTGATCGGTACAAGGCATCTGAGCTTCATCAGACCGCGTTGGTCAGGGTTACGGGAGCCCCTGGCGCTGGCGGCTCGGTGTGGGTTGCGCGCTGGATCCTTGTCTTTTAAAGAGGCAGGAAGCAAAGTTTTCGGGCTGCTTCTGGCTGGCTGGCGGCCGCGCGGGGAGCAAGCTGGGCTTTCCCGACAGCGGACTGCAGGGTTACCTCTCCCTCTAGAGGAGATGGAGGCTCCCGGCTCCTTGCCGGAGGGGCTGGGCAGTTGCTAGCCTCGGCCGGCTCCCGGGAGTCCAGCCAGGCGTGCAGACAAGCCGGCAGCGAGTTACAGATTGCAGCGACACATCCACATGTCGAGCGTCACACGCGCCGCTGTGGGCTTAGCAGAGGTTGCTAGGACTGGACCGGGGAGAGAGCTTGCTGCGACGCTCCTGGGTTTGGGGCTCAGCTCCGGTGCAGCATCCGTGCCTGTTTTGGGTGAGTCCTTGAGCACCCGTGTCTCAAGCTACTGTGTAAACCTTGCCGAGGTACTGGGAGGGCTAACGGCCATGCCGCACGCTGATGAGAAACGTGGTGCAAATGCACAGACGTTCACGCTATGGGAGGTGGCTCGTGGTGCACGTAGAGCAGTGTTTCTCAACCCAGGGCTTGCAAGAATGTATGAAAGGGCACGAATAAACTTGAAAAATGAATCAATCAACTTGAAAAATGGATTCTCCTTTCAAAGAGAGAAACGTGGGAACCTGTGGCTTTTCCCTTGCAGGCTGGCAGAGCTCCAGCCTGCAAGGGGCTGCTTGGGGACCCCTGCCCATGCTTGCACACTGGAGGTCTGGGGACAGAGGGCAGCGGGTCAGGAGCGAGGGGCACTGGCTGTGTCGATGTTTACAAATGGGTCCTGGTACAAAAAAGGTTGAGAACCACCGCCCTAGGGGATGCTGGTATGAAGAGGGTTGGTAGGCGAGACCTCCGGACCTGCGTAGTGCAGGAGAGCAGAGCGAACGTGCCTGCTCCTGGCAAGCGTGACGGGTCGGCACGGTCTCTGAGCCTCAGTGTGACCAGCACGTGCAAAGCACGTTCGAGTCCTCTCTGAATTGGGGCTGAAGCACCGTGCAAGAGGGCTGCTGTCTCTCCTGCTGCTATGCAAAGGACAGGATCCCTGAGGAGGGGATAACTCCTGGGGTCTGAATTCGGTGGCAGGGGAGGCTTTGAAGGCACGAGAGAAGATGCAGCTTTGCTACGGCTTCCTTCTCAGCGCCGTTTCTCCAGCACAGCCTGCCTGCTGGCTCCGGGCCAGGCCTTACCCCGTCTCTCTCTGCTTCTGCCCAGCTGCCAAAGTGCTGCAGAAACCTTTTTGTGCCACATGGAGCCTCCTGCTGGTTGATGGAGGATGCATATGATGGACTGGGCGGGCGGGGGGGGGAGAGAGCCCAGCTGGGTTGGGGGTGGCAGGCAACTCTCTGGGGCTGTGTCTCCGCCACCTGCAGCATCTATCAACGTGGTGGGGGATTCTCGGGGCGAGCTGATTTGAGATGCACGTGCTCCTTGCAAGACCCTGCGGGTCCGGTTACTCCCTGGGCAGCGATGGTAGGGCAAGCTGTGTGGGAAGAGGGGCATGCTGGACTTCAGAGCAGAAGAACTGGAAGCTATGCCACAGACTGTCATGTGCCCTCTTTTTAGCCTGTAGCTTGCCGGCTCCTTGGGGAGGCACTGTCTGTGCATTCATGCAGCACTTAGTGCTAAGGGTGCTGCTCCTTTACAGGTGCTCTAACTCCGCCAGGTGTCCGTCCCTTACGGCTGCCGTCTGAGCTTTGCCGTGCAGCCTCAGTGCGCTGTTCAGGGTGATTTTTCTCAGCTTCCCTAGCACAAGCAGCAGACTTGCTGCAAGGCAGCGCTCGCTGTGGCATGCGAGCCCGGCTTACTTTGCTGGCTTGTAACTTTTGCACGGCAGTGGAGTCCGGGCACACGACCCACGTCTGCCACCGACCAAAGGACCCCTCTTCCCGCATGGTTGTGTTGGTAGAAGACTGACGGTGGATGGACAGTCTCAGCGGTGTAGGCATGGCTGACCCAGAGAAGCTGCTTTGGAGATCCCAAGTGCAGAACCGGTGTCTGTGATGGCTCACGGCCCTACCCAAAACGTACACCGTTCCTGTTTGATGCCAAGCGAGTGGCACGTGGCACAGCAGAGCCACCACCCAGAGCCGCAGGATCTCAGCCCTGCTCTTCCCTTCCCCTCCGCTCGAACACCCGTCATAGCACCGAGCCAGAGCTCAGCCCATTGCCAGCTCTGGCTCCCGTTGCCCTGTGGAGCCTGCTGACGGCTCGGCGCGCCCTGAGGCTGGGAGAGGAAAGGTGGCTGCAAGCACAAGCCTGAAAGCAGAGCTTGGCAGCGCGGCGGGTCTAGCGAGGCTCCTTTTGCAGCGAGTCTGTCCAGCATGATCAGCCGTGTGCCAATCCAGTGCACGCAAGCTGGCACGTGAACCAGAGTGGAGCTCGCAGGGCCAGTCCATTGCCTCATCAGGAGGGAGAGCTCCCATCTGTGTTTTGCAATGCCCAAAACGGTTGGGAAACCATCCACCTAGCCGGTCAGCCCAGCATCCCTGACCCCATTCAGCCCACGGCCTTACTCAGCAGTGATTCATAGAGTCGCCACGTGGTGAAGGGGGTGGAAACTACCTACAGGCTTGCATGGCTGTTACTGCAGCATCCTCCTTGTGTAAGGGCTGTTCTCAGCCCCGCTTTACAGCTCGTGGCTCAGCGCCCCGAGGCTCACAGAAGGCATTGATTACTGGAGCAATCCCTCGAACCCAGATCTCGGTCCTAGGCAAGTGCCCTCATGGGACTATCTTTCTGCTAGGGGAAACCATACAACCAAATGGTTTTCCATCTCCCCTGATCTCATGCTCCCTGCTGAAGCGGCTTGGTATTTCTCCGTGTAAAACCAAATGACCTCTTGAATGAAATGAAAAATTTCCCTGCCATATTCTTGGGCAAACCCCTCTAAAAACTGCCATTTCTGGAAACAAAGCAACAAAAAAATCCCACCCTTGAGAGAAAAAAAAAAAAACCCCAAGTGCCCGTTCTTCCCCTTCACGTCTCCTGGCAACAACACCGCCTTTCCCATCCAGCTCGGCTTTATTCTCAAGGGGCTTCTGGGAGGCAAAGGTACTTTCACGTGCCTCTTCCTTCCCTCTGATTGACGCATCTTTCCTGCCCCTACGTCCGCCTGCCGGGTGGGCGAGGGCCTTAGTGGAGAGGCCCGAGTGGGTGATAGCACGGTGCTTTTTCCGGCTGCACCTGGCACGCTCTCCTCCCCGGCGCAGCGCGGTGCGGCGCGGCACACAGATGTGGGGCTGTGTTGTTTCCCTTGCAGGCCTTTCATCTCTGGTTCCTGTTTCCTTCCACGCCCTTTCTCCCACAGGGAATTTCTGAACTCTTCTTTCCTCTGGCCGTTCCTTCGCTGCGGCCGCGGTTGTAACCAGCCCAGTATCACGTAGCCTCAGATCTGCCTTTTTTTAAACCCTGCCGCACTGGAAGTCCTGCCTGGGCCCGGATGCCCGGGGCACCTTCCTTTTGGCCTTTGTGGCGGGACTTGCGTCCATGCATGGAGTTGACTTTTGGAGCATCCAGGCTTCACCTGTCCTATTTGCTGTGGGTTGTCTGCATGCTGCCTTTGCTTTCAGCTCGCCTTTGCCTTTGCTCTGCTGCCTTGCAAGGTAGGCTCAACCACACTCGGGTGCCCAGCTGCCCGGCCCTCTGATGCCAGGCTGCACTGATGATACCTGGAGTCAATGCACGCACCCTGCCTTCTCAAACGTCCCAGCCAACATCTCAGCTGCCAATGCGCCCTCCTGCCATCGACAAATCGGTCACCTTAAACGCTTGCTTTTTCTTGGCAACCCAAAAGCAACTTTTTTCCTCCCTTCCACCACCATGGTGGCTCTTAGGAGCAAAGGACAAGCTTTGGTTAGAGGAAGAGAATCGTACCGACCGTCCTGTGAACAGGGTTTGGTGATGTGCCCGAACTCGAGATCAGCATTGAGGCCTCGGGATAGAGATGTTCTCCTGCAGAGTTGGGGGGGCGGGGGAGGAGGGAAAACACATCCTTCTTTATTGCAAGAAGGGATGAAGAAAACAGACTAGTTTAGCACAGGAGCCAACCCAGCAGCACTAGCGATTGGATTTCATCTTTTTTAGAAGAATGACTCGAATTGAATGGGTTTTGTGTGCTTTTTTTTTAAAGTCGTGGCAATATAATTATTTTTTTGTGGAATTAATACTCCCGCAGAAACTCCCCTCCAGGGAGCCATGCAAAGAGCTTTAGCAAATGAAATGGTTCTTTTTTTTTTCGTAATCGCCTTGGAAAGTCTGTCTTTTTCCCTCTGATTTAAGGAGAGGGTCTTTCTGTTAAAACTTGAACAGACTTTGCCGATTCTCCGGCTTTTGTAATATCTGGCTTTGGCCGGCTTCCCTGTAAGGGAACTGTTGCCCAAGCCGGCTGGCCAGGCTGGTCAAGGTGTTCCCTTCTGTGATTTTTGCTTTTCAAGCCCCTTCAACAATAGCTCCCATAGAGCTGCAGTGAAAAGTGATTATTTTGCTCAATCTAGGGGAAGAGAAGAGAAGATGCTCTTTCCCCTACTCGGGTCTCCAAAGGGGGCTGGCACCCATAGGAAGGTCTGGGAGCGGTGGCATGTGCTGCACTGCCCCCAGGTTGGGGACACAGTAGCATGACCAGCTGCAGGAAGGCAGGGAAGCCTCTTGTCACACCATGACAGTGAGAAAAAGCAATGGATCTGCCAGTTCCCAGATAATCTCTGGTAACCAGGGCAACTTGGAGAAATGGGAGCTTTCAGATGGAAATGAGACCCTTTAAGATGGTTCCCGGAGAGGGCGTGGGGTGAGAACCTGGCTCGCATAGGTCTCGATTCCCTTTGCAAGACAGAAGCTCAAGCCCTCATCCTAAAAGGGCAGGGCTTTGTATGGAGGGAGCCGGGCTTATCGGAGCATGCCGCACATGCCTGTGGGATCAGACAAAACCATGGCTGTGGAGTGGGGTGGGAGAACGCTGTCTGTGCAGGAGGGGGTCTCCTATGTGCCGGCCATGGTGCTTTGCATTCGCTGCCCTCCTTGGCCTTTCTGGCGGCGTGCAGGATGGTGATGTCCCGGGGCAGCATGCCAGCTCTTTGGTAGCGAGCTGCAAGCGCATGTCCCCTGCTTCCCCGGGCCGTGCAGGGGACGGGCATGAGAAATGCAGACGTGCTTGACTTGTTTCAGGTCCACCTGGTTTGAAGCAGCTGCAGGTTGGGAGCGCTGACATCTGGCCAGCGTGCCACCCAGCAAACGTCGCTGCTA